CACAAAATGTCAAAATTTTCAAAGAAAATTAAAAAATTAAAAAAAAAAAATTATTGCACAGAAAGAGAAAGTATAATCCGATTTTCCTCGGACTTTGCAAATCCTAATATTTTCATCAGTTCTAGGTCAGGTGAGAAAATGGACAATATTGGTCCACTCCATCAGGGACCTCCCCCACAAAGGGTCAAAATTTTGAATAATTACAACTCTTATAAAATGTGATGTAAGAGTCCGATAGTCTTTAAATGTCACACATCGCAATAATTTTATTAGCACAAGGTCTGGTGTGCAAATGGAATGTATCGGTCCACTCCTTCGGGTGACTGAAAATATTTTTTGCACAGAAAGAGAAACGATAATTCGATTTTGCTCGAACTTTGCAAATCCTAATATTTGCATCAGTGCTAGGTCATGTGCTAAAATTGACAGTACCGGTCCACTCAATCAAGTACCTCTCTTTGGGTCTGATTCGAAATGGACAATATTGACACATTACTTCGGAACCGGCTCCATATAGGGTCAAACTTTTGAATAATTGTAACACTAGTCAAATATATTTCGATTATTTAATCGAACATAGGCTGAGGGTATATATCTGTCGGCAATACCGACTGATACTTTTTAACTTGTTTTACCAATATTTCTGCGTAAATCAAGAAGTGAGATCGAGAATCCCACTACAAATGCTTTTATAACCCAAAATTTCAAATAATGAAGGTAAACCAACCTTTGCATCTACTAAACTTAATTTATTGAAAAGCAGAGTTTAGCCATATTTTGTTCATACCAAAAGATTTACACCCTTTTAGTTATAACATTGAGATTACAGTGGTAAGTTATTACAATAACCATAAATTGTTTCAAATTTTGGAGAAATATAAATAATCCAAAACCCTAGTTACGAAATAATTTAATGGTAACACTTGACGATTAACGGGCACAAATTGTTTTATTTTGACCTTCCATTGAATGACGTTCACTAATTATATATTTTTTTTTTTTCAGAAGAAAATATAAAATAATCGTGGGAAAGTAAAACAATAGATTGTCAAGATTGTTTTGACCTAAATGATAACATGGCAAACAAAGGGCTTACATAACTTATTTGTTTGTAACAACCATAATATTTTATTTTTTTCATAATATTTTTATTTTATATTAAAATTTAAAGACTTACCACCCTCAATTTGTAGGCATAGTTTATCATTTCAATTTTTTTTCTGTAAAAATTAGAAATTTGAAAAAGTTCGAAATGCTCACACCTTATTTGAATTATTTTTTTTAAAACTTACTTAATACTACAGTTATAACAAGGAAAATTTTGTTGAAATTTGAAATTACTTATTTCTAATTTAAAAGATTCACGGTTTACGGATTGAAGAATGCCCAGTTGATTTATTAGTTACCCATGGTCATGGACGGTCCGGTGATTCGTTTTAAATATCTTAGTGTCAATGATGCCTGAACCGTGGGGTGGTGATTTCATATATGGAACTAACATGTGGAAAAAAATACGCTCTTTCCAAAATACGAAAATTTGGGCATGAAAAATATTAAATAAAACAAGAAGTATCCATTGGAAACACTAAACTTCAAATAAGAAATATCTCCGGTGAAATGTGTGGCTATAAAAAAAATTTGGACCTTTATAGTCGATTATCTACCAGAGAAGACGGTACCTAATACGAACTTCAAATAAAAATTTGATATAATTGTTTTGAAAAATGTAGCTAAAACCATAAATATTGGGAAGTATCCTAGGCTTCCTACATACTGTGAAAATACGGCCAATTTTCAGAAAATTCGAGTTTAAATGGTTACTTAAACATTCGGTTAAATGTGCCAAAATCCATCCAATTTGAGCTGATATTATGTATATGGTTGGTGATGTATATGGAAGCCATAGCTGAACCGATCTCGATAAAATTTGACAGAGGTTTCTCTGAGCTTTATCTGTTATCTGCAATCTTGTAAAGGGTGTTTTTTAAGCTAGATAGAACTTTAAATTGTAAAAAGTAACACAAAAAATTCAAAAAAAATCTTTCGCCGATTGGGCTCTAGAGCTGTTGGCAAATGACCCGTTGTTTTATCGCAAAATTGTGTTCTGCGATGAGGCGCATTTTTGGCTTAACGGGTGTGTTAATAAGCAAAATTGCCGCATATGGAGTGAGACCAATCCACAAGAGACCCTACAGACTCCATTACATCCAGAAAAATGCACCGTATGGTGCGGTTTTCACGCTGGTGGCGTCATCGGACCTTATTTCTTCAAAAATGAGGTCGGAGCTCGCGTTACGGTCAATGGAGATCGTTACCGCACCATGATCAATGATTTTTTGTTTAAAAATATGGATGACATTGATCCGGAGGAGATGTGGTTTCAACAGGATGGCGCTACGTGCCATACGACGAACGAACCATCGACTTATTGAAATCAGAATTTGGCGATAAGTTGATTTCGAGAAGTGGACCTGTCAATTGGCCTCCAAGGTCGTGTGATTTGACACCTCTCGATTATTTCCTGTGGGGCTACGTGAAGTCACTGGTTTATGCTGATAAACCAGCAACAATTGACGCCTTGGAGGCCAGCATTGTTCGTGTTATTCGTGACATACGGCCAGCAGTGCTCGAAAAAGTGGCCAAAAATTGGACGTCCAGAATGCACTTCGTCAAGAACAGCCAACAGGCACCGCCCATATGCCCGAAATCATTTTCAAATGGTAATGTCACGTATTGATCTTTCGAATAAAAAAAATTTTTGATTAAAATTTAATTTTTTGCGTTATTTTTTACAATTCCAAGTTCTATCGTTACAATTCCTGTAGAGTGCCTATTACGAAAGTGAGGGACTAGAATAATAATAATATAATTTAGAATTATGTAAGTATTGTTTTCACTGGGTATGCATAGGCATGTTAATGCCCTAGGTAATAGCGTTACCCACTACCAAACTAAGAATAAATAGTCAACTAGACATGGAGAAACGTTTTTTTTTTTTTTTTTTTTTTTTTGATTATAACAATTTTTGTCAAATGTTTGAAGTTCGAAGATATACAATTGAACATGAGATTTAATCACATAAAAGAGAATGCATCTCAGTTGGAGGCTCATTAGCCCCCAATAGAGATTGGAAGGTTAAACAAACTAAAACAAAAATTAAAAATATTTACCAAGAAACGTAAATAAATAATTTAAAACTAAATAAATAAAAATAAATATATTAATATGAAATAGTTTTTCATCACTTCAATTTCATGTGTCCAACTAATGTTTTACGTTAAAGCGAATTGAATGTGGAGCGAATAACGTCTCAAAGCGCCATCTAATAATAACACTATGAACTATAATTATATTTTTCCATTTAGTGTCTTAGCTAAAATTAACATCCAATGCAACAACCATGTTATGAAGTGGTGAAAAAATTATTTGTAAAAACATTTTGCTAATTAAAAAAATAATTTTGAGTACATAAACGATGTCGTATTTGTTTGCCAATTCAAACGTATGTTTGAAAAGTTTGACAGAATTTTAAAGAGATTTTGCTGAGACTGTAGCGTAAACTTTGACGTACTTTATAAACATATTCACCTTCCTCACTATGGTTAAATTTGGTAACATTTGTTTAAATAAATTATTTTTAGATGTCAGATAAACACATTTCTATTAATCTTCAGGAAAGAATAAATATTCGGGCATGGCCGACTTTATGATACCCTAAACCACTATACGAATATAGTACTGATCCCGTTACATATGCATATACTAAATCGAAAGAGAAACAAACACATAAAAAAGTTTATATTGGGAATTTATGTGAAGTAGATCATCAAACCATGAACCCTATTTTAGAGCAGTTATAATTTGATTTCAAATGGAACTAATTCTGAATCGATTATTACTAAATTTGGCGGAGGCGTTTTTACCTCTCATACTAAATAACATCACTTTGAGAAGTATTATATTAATAACTATATATCGGAGTCGAATTCCAATAAATGGAAAAATTCGGTTGTATATGAAAAAATCTATCTGATTTGGGCTGATATGACATATATGGTGAACAATAACCGTGAAACGGATAAAGACATATACGGAAGCTATATCTAAATCTAAACCAATCTTGATAAAATGTGTCATATATATTTCTAAGCTGTATTTGATATCTTTTCCCGAATATCGTTGTTGTGGAGTCCATATTACGGCTGTAGGTAACTAAAATAAAAAATTGGATGGACAATATACATATAGAATATCGGTTTAGATATATAAAGCTAATCTAAACCAATATTCTCCAAATTTGAAGTACTTGGTTTTAGGCGGAATTCGGTCTTACTTGACAAATTTCACCTCATTTTATCTGATATTAGCCATTTAGTGCACAGTAATCCTGAAATTGAATAAAAATAAATGTGGGAGCTACATTCAAATCTGAACCGATCTCTATAAAATTTGACAGAGGTAGTTCTAAGCTTTATAATATATCTGGTACCAAATATCATTGCTGTAGAGCGCATATTACGAATGTGTGGGACCTAAACACGAAATCGTATGAAGCATATATATGAGGATTATAACTATATCTGAAACGATTTTCGAAATTTGATGCATTTGCTTCTAGACTGAATTCGTTCGAATGTGCCAAAATACAGGTCATTCGGATTGATATTGGCCAGTTGGTGATATTGGCCGAAAATACATGGACGGACGGACAGATGAACTGACATTCATTTTAAAAAATTTTAAACCATTCATAAAGATTTAAAACGTAAATGAATCTGAAACATGTGTACAGAATATTTGAGAACAAATATTTGCGTTTCCAATTTTAATGTAAACAAAATACAAAACTTGTGCGGAAATAATTTCCTGTACGAAACGGAAAAAAAAACTCTAAAAAACACAAAAATGATAAATTAAAATCTCTTAAATTCAATTAAATTTGAGCTGTAACCTAGTTTAGACGTTCTGTAGAAGTGAAAATTTTTCGAAAAAAAAAAGAAATGAAAAAATATTTATTTATCTCAATACTCTGTACAGCCGCATATCTGAGCACAGCTGCCACCAATTATTGTAAATCGGGATTATGTCCAACAGGTCAAACACACATTGCCTGCAACAATACTGGGGTATTAGAGTTGAATACAATTCTGTAAAGAAAACGGAAATATAAATAATCCCACTTTTTTCAGAAATTTTATTCCAGTTGTTCGAAAGATGCTGCCATGGTACAAATTGGACCGAATCTACAAAAGTTTATTGTCAATCAACATAATAATAAACGTAACTTGATTGCTGGTGGCAAGGTTGCCAAGTTTAAGCCAGCCTGTCGTATGGCCACCATGAAATGGGATGCGGAATTAGCCAAAATAGCTTCGTACAATGTTCGTCAGTGTAAGATGGAACATGATAAATGTCGCAATACACAAAAATATAAATTTGCGGGACAAAATTTGGCCTGGCGATCGTATACGGGAACACCGAATAAACAACAGCTAATAAAGGCAGCGATAAACGCCTGGTACTCAGAATATAAAAACACCAAATGGACCCAAATCCAATCTTATCCGTCGAACTATAAAGGACCGTAAGTAAAGGAAAATTATTGACTTTTCCAATTCTTCATAAAGAAATTCCAATTTTTTCCCCTTAGAGCCATCGGCCATTTTACAGCCTTGATGGGCGAGCGCAACATTGCCGTGGGCTGTGCTGCCTCCACATATTCCACTCAAGGCGTTAAATACAAAACATTTTTAGTGGCCTGCAATTATGCAACGACAAATATGATCGGGAGTCCTATCTATACTGGATGCGCGAGAGCAACTGCAAAATGTAAAGCCGGTAAAAATTCCAAATATCCCAATTTATGCGCTCCCAAAGAAGTTTACAATGTTAACAAATGGTGAAAGTCCAAATTGGTAAAAAAATAATAAAAATAAATAAAGAGAAACATTGTTGACAGTAATTTCCGAACTTTGAATGCCCTCCACTATATGAAGGGAATTTGCAAATTTCCAAAAAAAAACAGTAAGGAAAGCTCAAAAGTCGGGCGGGTCCGACTATATGATACCCTACACCACTATGCATATTTAGTAGAGCTCTCGTAAAAAGGTTTATACAGGGCATTTCAGAGATCTATGAGATATTTGGTACAAAATCAAAATCTATCTAATTCTATCGTGCATTTTACGAACTATAGCTATCTCTGAACCGGGTTTCTCCAAATTTGACGTATTAGCTTCTAGACTGAATTCGGTCTTATGTACGAAAATTCATGCCATTTGGGCTGATATTGGCCATTTGATGCACAATTAACACGAAATCGGATGAAGATATATATGGGAGGCATATCCAAATCGGAACAGATTTTAATAAAATTAAAATCAACTATTTTTGGGCTTTATCTAATATCTGTACCAAATATCATTCCTGTGGAGTGCATATTACGAATGTGAGGGACTTAAAGACCAAATCGGACGAAAGATATATATGGGAGCTATAGCTATATCTGAACCGATTTTTACTAAAATTGGTGTACTTGCTTCTAAGCTGGTTTCGGTCGGATTTACCAAAATTGATGCTATTACGGCCATTTGGTGGTCAATCACCCGGAATCGGATGAAGATATATATGGGAGCTATATCCAAATCTGAACCGATTTCGATAAAATTTTAAACAGCTATTCCTGTGCTCCATCTAATACCTGGTACCAAATATCACGGTCGTGGAGTGAATATTACGAATGTAAGGGACTAAAACACTAAATCGGATGAAACATATATATGGTTGCTATATCTATATCTGAACCGATTTTCACTAAATTTTATATACTTGCTTCTAGGCTGAATTTGGTCCGATGTACTAAAATTCAGTCCATTTGGAGTTATATCGGCCATTTGGTGCACAATTAACCCGAAATCGGATGAAGATATATATGGGAGCTATATCCAAATCTGAACCGATTTCGATAAAATTACAAACAGCTATTTCTGTGCTGCATCTAATACCTGGTACCAAATATCACGGTTGTGATGTGCATAGTAGGAATGTGAGGGACTTAAAGATCAAATCGGATAAAACATGTATATGGGAGCTATAGCTGTTTCTGAACCGATTTTATCCAAATTTGTTGTATTTGCTTTAAGGCTAATCTCGATTACATGTGCCAAAATTCGGGCCATTTGGGCTGATATTGGCCATTTGGTGGTCAATTAACCCGAAATCGGATGAAGATATATATGGGAGCTATATCCAAATCTGAACCGATTTCGATAAAATTTAAAACAGCTATTTCTGTGCTCCATCTAATACCTGGTACCAAATATCACGGTTGTGGAGTGCATAGTAGGAATGTGAGGGACTTAAAGATCAAATCGGATGAAAGATATATATGGTTGCTATATCTATATCTGTACCGATTTTCTCCAAATTTGATATACTTGCTTCTAGGCCGAACTCGGTTGGGTGTGCCAAAATTCAGGTAATTTGGACTGATAGTGGACATTTGGTGCACATTTAACCCGAAATCGGATGAAGATATATATGGGAGCTATATCTAAATTTGATCCGATTCTCACCAATTTCAATAGGGTTCGTCCTTGGGCCAAAAAAATTTTGTTTGGAAAATTTCATCTCAATCGGATTATAAATGCGACCTGCATTTTGTTCACAAGAATACATGGACAGACGGACGGACGGACAGACGGACTGACATGCATAAATCGACTCAGAAAGTGATTCTATGAAGGTTCTCAAAAGTAACTATGGGTCTATCTCGTTTCCTTCTCCATGTTACAAACAAATGCACAAAGACATAATACCCTTACCACTATGTGGTGTAGGGTATAAAAACAGTAAAGAAAGTCTTAAAGTCGGGCAGGGCCGACTTTATAATACCCTACGCCACTTTACTTATTTAGTAGAGCTCCGCACAACAATTAAAAGTTTTTATGGGAGAGTTCAATCATACACGCTATGATTATAATTTAAAGCTCAAAGGACTAAATATGCCGAAGCATTTGTATCTTTTAAATTCGGAATTGTATTGCCCATTTGGTGCACAATTAATTTGAAATCGGATAATTTGAAATCCGATAACTATATCCAAAACGGAACCGATCTCGATAAAATTTGGCAAAGATATTTCTGAGCTGTATTTGATATATTTCCCTGAATATCGTTGTTACGGAGTGCATATTACGGCTGTGGGTAACAAATACCATAAATCGGATAAACAATATATATGGGAGCTATAACTATATCTGAACCGATCTTCACCAAATTTGGCATACTACCTTCTAGATTCAATTCGGTAGTATGTGCCAAATTCCATCCCATTTGGACAAATATTAGACGTTTGGTGCACAATAAATGGTAAATCGGACGAAGTTATATATGGGAGCTATATCCAAATCTGAACCGATCTCGATAAAATTTAGCAAAGGTATTTCTGAGCTGCATTTGATATATTTCCCCAAATATTGTTGTTACAGAGTGCATATTACGGCTGCGGACAAAAATAACGAATCGGATGAACAATATATATGGGAGCCATATCTATATCTGATCCGATTTCGATAAAATTTAGCATACTTATTTTCAGGCCTAATTTGGTTGTATGTGCAAAATTCCATACTATTCGGGCTGATATTACACGTTTGGTGCACAATAAAAGGCAAATCGGACGAAGATATATATGGGAGCTATATCTAAATTTTTACCGATAATCTCCAATTTCAATAGGGTTCGTCCTTGGGCCAAACAAATGTTGTTTGCAAAATTTCATCTCAATCGGATAATAAATGCGACCTGCATTTTGTTCACAAGATTACATGAACAGACGGACGGACGGACAGACGCACTGACATGCATAAATCAACTCAGAAAGTGATTCTATGCAGATCATCAAAAGGAACTATGGGTCTATCTCGTTTCCTTTTGCCTGTTACAAACAAATGCACAAAGACATAATACCCTGACCACCTTGTGGTGTAGGGTATAAAAACCGAATATAGGGAGGTACCTATACGAAGATGTGGACCTACATAGCGATGTCTGTCCACCTGTCTGTCTATGGAAATCACTTTAGCTTCCGAACAAAAAGAAGTTGGTTGATGACATTTTACTCAGATATGTTCTATACCTGCAGTATTTTTATAACCTCCACCTTGGAAAGAGGGGTATCTTAACTTTCTCATTCCGTTTGTAACATCCTTAAATATTCGTCGTAGACCCCATAAAGTATATATATTCATAATCAGCATAAATTCTAAGTCGATTTAACGATGTCCGTCTGTCTGTCTGTTGAAATCACGATACAGCCCACATTATTTGATGTATGTATAGGTTCACGCTTTGGTATAGCCTCCATATAAAGGTACCTCCCGATATTCGGTATTTTGATTATTTTCGCCACATTTTTTCAAGGATATGTCTAAAAATTGGTATTTATTGGTCATAATGGGTTCTAGCTCCGGTGGCGAAACATTGCATATATGAGTCCACGATTTGGTATAGCCCCCATATAACGGTACCTCCCGATATTCGGCGTATTAATGGTTCTTGCCACATTTCTTCGCGGATTTGTCTAGAAATTGATATTTGTTGGTCTTAATAGATTCTAGCTCTTTTGGCGAAACACTGTATGTATAGGTCCACGTTTTTGTATAGCCCCATATAGCCGTATTTCCCGATATTCGGTATTTTGATGCTTTTTGGCACATTTTCCCATGAATATGTGTAAAAATTGGTATATGTGGGTAATAAAGTTTGGCCCGGCCGAACTTAATGTTTTTTTTTTACTTGTTGGTATTGAAAATGGGCTACATAGGTCCTTATATATAGGCCCCATATGACGGTACCGGCTGATTTAAAGTATTTTTTTGTGTGTTTTAGTCACAATATTAACCCGAATTTGCTGTAATTGCTACAAATTCGAGGTATGTGCTCCTGATATGTTGGAAACATCCTTGTAGAGAACTGTACACATGGGTTCAAATTTTGGTATAGACCTCATATAAGTGTACCTTTAGATATTCGGTATTTTTATACCCTACACCACATAGTGGTAAGGGTATTATGTCTTTGTGCATTTGTTTGTAACATGGAGAAGGAAACGAGATAGACCCATAGTTACTTTTGAGAACCTTCATAGAATCACTTTCTGAGTCGATTTATGCATGTGAGTCCGTCCGTCCGTCTGTCCATGTATTCTTGTGAACAAAATGCAGGTCGCATTTATTATCCGATTGAGATGAAATTTTCCAAACAATATTTCTTTGGCCCAAGGACGAACCCTATTGAAATTGGTGAGAAACGGATCAAATTTAGATACAGCTCCCATATATATCTTCATCCAATTTCGGGTTAAATGTGCACCAAATGTCCACTATCAGTCCAAATTACCTGAATTTTGGCACACCCAACCGAGTTCAGCCTAGAAGCAAGTATATCAAATTTGGAGAAAATCGGTTCAGATATAGCTATAGCTCCCATATATATCTTTCATCCGATTTGATCTTTAAGTCCCTCACATTCCTACTATGCACTCCACAACCGTGATATTTGGTACCAGGTATTAGATGGAGCACAGAAATAGCTGTTTTAAATTTTATCGAAATCGGTTCAGATTTGGATATAGCTCCCATATATATCTTCATCCGATTTCGGGTTAATTGACCACCAAATGGCCAATATCAGCCCAAATGGCCCGAATTTTGGCACATGTGACCTAGATTAGCCTAAAAGCAAATACAACAAATTTGGAGAAAATCGGTTCAGAAACAGCTATAGCTCCCATATATATGTTTTATCCGATTTGGTGTTTAAGCCTCTCACATTCGTAATATGCACTCCACAAGAATGATATTTGGTACCAGATATAAGATACAGCCCAGAAATAGCTGTT